TCCTTCCATCCATCCATAGCAGGGCCTTGTGAGGCTGTCCCTTCCTGGCCCTGTCATGCTCTGTGTTACCTGTGCACAGCATTTGACAGCTTGCTGTTACCACTCCTGTGAATGCATCCTGGCTTCCAGCTATCTGCTAATAAAGAAGCTGAGAGTTTGTTGCCTGAAACGCAAACACCCCATAAGCTTCTGGGTATATACACACAATGATGTTTTAGCAGACATTTCTTCTGTGGAGCCTGAAAAGCAGTGACATGAAAGGCTCCAGCAGCTGGCACCTGAGCTGCCCTGGGTTGAGCTTCCTTCCTGACCTCAGTGCCCTGAGCCCCTTTGAAAGAGGAGAGTGGAAGTGCTGCTGCACCGCGGCATCCAGTGTACCGAAAGTGAAGGTTATACTGGGGAGAGGTGATGATGGAGGTGGAGGGGATGTTTCTCCTGGCTGCTGCCCCTCCCTCAGCCAGATGTGTGGGCCCCAGTTCCCTGCGAGCCCTTCAGCTGGGTGGATTTCTCCTCTTGCTCGTGACTCTTCACACCCACCAGCACTAGCTGATGGGCGCTGGCTTTAAGTGAAGAGAAAGAGCAGATTGCAGGCCTCTGATGAAACAATTTCACTTCAGTCATGAAGTAAAGAGTAGAAATAGGAAGAAATGGGGGAACTAACATGAATTAAGATTTTTTTCACAGCAGCCTTTCATAAATCCTGGTCCTGTCCATGATAACACTTGACTGTAAAACTCTTTAAGTGCATCACAGCAGGTGAATTAATTGATTGCTGTGGAATTACAAAACCAGTAAACAGTCAGTGTTACTGGAATACATGCATGTTGACAGCTATTAGCCCACAGAATTATTATGCATGCAAATCTGAAAAGCCAAATATAGTGGCTCCAGGAGCATAATTTGTGTGCATTAATCTCTCTAAGCAGCGATGACATGATCAAACATTATGGATCCTAACAAGCTAATACACAGGCTATCAGATCAACAAATTCCACCCTGAAAATGTGATTAACCACAATGGTTCTGCAGCAAATACCATAAATCATCTGCATATGTTAAATCATTAGCATACTATTTACAAGCAAGATATGAGGAACTCCTTGGGCTGTGTCAAGTTTGCAGTTTTTAAAAACCTCAGAGTTAGTGCCTTTTTTTTCTCATAGTTCCTTTCAAAACTGTTACTCCTCTCTCAAACTCTTATTTTTAAATGTAGGACAGCAGCATTTTCAGCATTTTTTCTGTAGCAACCTAAAGAAAGGATTATCTCCTCTTCTTTAGTCCTTCTTAGTGGCTACATAAGAAGCCTAATTAGTCTTGTGGAGCAGCCCTTTGCATGACATTTCTGCACAGCACAAGGTATGTGGGCACTTGAGCAATGAGCAGCCTCCCACCCGCTGGCTGCTCTGGGAAGCACATGAGTTGACAGTTTAAATTCAGGTGCATT